CGGCCCGAGAAAGTGGTGGGCGCGCGGAGCATTGGCGAAACGGGCCGGACGCGATAGGGGATCCGCGCGGGCTGAGCGTGGAGAGGGCCCGCTTGGAAGTGTGGACCCCGAATTGGAGTTGGAGCGGAGTGAACTCTGCATAATTGCGCGTCGCCCTTTTGTTGTCAACGACATGATGCAGTCCACTGGTCGGCTCTCTAGTCTTGTGACGCTTGAACGTGGGTTCGAGTATTGGCGGCGCCCATATCTTTTTGACGCAGGAATGAGCTTTGAAGCGGAGTGGATCTGGCCCGCGCGTAAGGCGGATTGGGCCGCGAGACTTGGGCTTCAAAAGTCGGGTCTGGCGGAGCGGAATATTGGGCCCGCGAATAGAGAAGGCGGGCTAAGTTGAGTTGGGCCGCGAGTGCGCTTGTGCGCGAGCAAGGGTGCATTGCGCTTGTGGACGCGGGTTGAGTCGGGATGGGCCGCGAGCTGAGCCTCCTAGCGGAAGTGGGCCGCGAGTAGAGCAGACGGGCTAACGTGCGCGTGGGCTCGACGGAGTGTGCTTGTGGCGGGCTTAGTGTGGACGCGGGTTGAGTTGGGATGGGCCGCGATCTGCGGCGCCGAGCGGAAGTGGGGCGCGAGTGGAGAAGGCGGGCTCCCGTGACACGGGCTTGGTGGTGGCGCTTTTTTTTTTTTTTTTTCATGTAATTACCTTTGCTTTTCAATTTCTGCCTATTCTCTTGACTGGCAGGCTCGGTTGCCTGTGTTGGCGGAGTTGATTGCTCGGGCGGCGATTTGGAATCCCGCGGTCGCGTAGCCATTGATGAAAGCATAGGCGGCAGCGGAAAGGACACAACTCGCGGAGGAATGGCAAACGTGGCGCCGCGCCGGAGTTGAGATCGACAGCCGTTATGGCCGTGAAGCCGAGGAGATCTCCGAGCGGCAAGGCCGCCGGGATTGGTCAATCTGTTATCTCTGTTTTGGCTTGCAGATCAAGCTGATGGTGGTGGTGGGCACGACAATAGGGGAAAACGAACGAAGGGTATAGAAAAGTAGATCTGGTTTTTATTTTGTTTTAACCCCTTCCCTTCTCGATCGTTAGAATAGCTGCTGCCTGTTGTGGTGGATGACATCGTCGATTCTCTTTTTCCCGTGGCTGGAGTCGGACTTCCGATCTTCCTCTTCTTAGTTGCTCCCTTCAAACCCCGATGTCCTTCCAGTCGGCGACCAGTAAAAGTCACCGGGATCTGAGTTTTCGTTTTCCTCGGTTTGTGTGCCATCAACCAGAGACGAGTGGATTTGGTTGGGGTGGAGATTAACTGGATGTTGACGATGCTTGCGTCTAGCTTGAGGAAAAGTAGCTTGATCCCCCTCCTTTTTGCCTCCCAAAGGAGAGGACTTCCTCTCTCTTTTCTTTGACTCAGCTGGCCTTCCAAGGATTTGGCAGCTGCTGTGGCGCTTAGTTGGTGGAGAAGATTTCGAGCTCTTCCCAAAAACAATCAGATCTGATTTTTTTCTTTTTTTTTTTTTTTTTGCAGCCACTGTCGAATGGTGTTCAGAGGCGGCCATTTCCATTCTCCCTTCAAAATCAAATGAACAGATGTCGGAATCAAGCCCCACGGTGGGCGCCAATTGTTTGATCCATCTGGCTCAGGCGGCGAACAATGATATTTGTTGGTGTGGGTCGACTCGTCATCTGTTCGTCTGATCTCGTCGGGAGGGAAAGAACCTGTGGAAGAATCGGGGTTGCCCCCCGGATTAAGCTCCGACGAGCAAGTCAGATGTCGGTTTGTGGAGAGAGTTGAGAGAATAAGGTAGAGAAATAAGGTGTAGAGAGATAGTGAAAAGTAGAAAGTGAGGAGAGAGGAGAAGTCCCCCTCTTTGGAGGGCTTCAAGCCCTTATATACCTGTAGCGGGTATCGAGCGTTGGGCATCGCCGATTATGTGCCCTCCTGCTTAGTCTGTGGCTCTGTGCGCTCAGTCCCTTAGTCACACCCCCAACACATACCATTAAAAATAATTGTTTAACCATTACAATGAATAATGATAAGATTTCATATTCTAAAAGTAAAGTAGAATGCATTCCTTGTCTAAACTGGCGCACACATGCATCTTGTTTAATATATGTCACCAACAAATTGTTCAACCAATCATCATTCACCTGAATCCGAAGATTGTTCTTGATATATTTCATGGAGGAAAATGATCTATACAAATGATCTATACACTTGTTGCAACAAAAAAAATTGCCCGAAAAGTTTTTTTTTGTCCTCGAATAGTATCTCTTCATCTAATTTATATATCAAGATCTTTATTATATGACAAATCAAAGAACAACTTAGTTTAGTTAATTGAATCTTATAAGACGTAGGAGTGTGCTGGTAAAAAGAACAAATCCGTAATTTTAATTTCAAGACAATTGTTCTTAAGGGGTTCTACCTATATTCTTAGATTTTTGGATCCCTTCCAAGGGGGCTGCTGGCACCCCCCACATCCCTGAGTGGCTCCGCCACTGGTTCAGGACGGCCTCGTCTTCCGTTGCCGATAGAAAGCTGATCGGCCTAGTGGGTTCCTTGCAGGAAGATCAGAAGCCACTTTTCTGGCCTGGTTGCTTGACATGTTGGGCCTTATCTGTGAACTGCAGGCCTTATCTCGACTGGTTGCCAATATTCGGCTCACTCCATACTCTCTCCATAGATATATCACAAGTAATGCACGAAAAAAATATAATGAAAAGAAAAAGTTTTGTCCGACCTACCGGATTCGAACCAGTGACCTAAGGATTAACTGGCAGATTTAACCACTACAGTCCTCCGCTCTACCAACTGCAGGCCTTATCTCGACTGGTTGCCAATATTCGGCTCACTCCATACTCTCTCCATAGATATATCACAAGTAATGCACGAAAAAAATATAATGAAAAGAAAAAGTTTTGTCCGACCTACCGGATTCGAACCAGTGACCTAAGGATTAACTGGCAGATTTAACCACTACAGTCCTCCGCTCTACCAACTGCAGGCCTTATCTCGACTGGTTGCCAATATTCGGCTCACTCCATACTCTCTCCATAGATATATCACAAGTAATGCACGAAAAAAATATAATGAAAAGAAAAAGTTTTGTCCGACCTACCGGATTCGAACCAGTGACCTAAGGATTAACTGGCAGATTTAACCACTACAGTCCTCCGCTCTACCAACTGAGCTAAGGTCGGCTGATGTTCAGGTTCTAAGTCTTCCATATAATACTAGAGAGCACTCTTTTCTTGTTCTTTAACTCATTTAGGCGGATTATCTTCTTGTTATCAAAGATAAATTTATCGTGAAGTACTTTGCCGTAGATTTCATGAAAAAAAGGTCTATCACTGGACGAGCATTTAACCCCACAACGGAATGCTCATGTTTCTGGGTCTTCCTCATTTGGACAAACCAATTTTCAAACTGGTCCATGGGCCTTAGTGTCATACATTTGTAAACACTCATGGGCCAGTGTGAAAAAATAGGTGGCTTAATTTACTCTCTTTCGAGTTAATTCGCTCAGCCTTTTTCCCAAATTAATGGGCCGGACTCCAAGTTATTGGGCCGAGCTTAGCTCTGGGTTCCATTGCTTGTATGGGTATGAGTATGTATGACCCACGATTTGTGGGCCTATTGAAGGCTGAAAAATACATAAAGCGGTTTGTGGTCCAGCAGTAGCATATATGTCTGCTTACAAAATTGCTTTTGTCTATGACTCTATGTGACAAAAAAGAATGACAGGGAAAGTACTGAAGAAAGTGGTCCAAGGGGAGATCCATCATTATTCACATTCCCATGTGATCAAAGATTTCTCAGGCGAGGCAGACAAAGTATTAGGGACCATACCTGGCCAGGTGAAGACAATCTAATAATAAGTAGCATCAAATCAAAGCTAACACAGGGAGTTGCTTTGCTAGGTATGGCAAGTTTTCCCTCCAAAGAGTTTCACACATAAAACTATTATGGCAAAGAAACGATGAGAATGTTCACAATCACAAGGTTGACCCTTTCAGTAGTGTACATTTGCACAATCTAATAAGCAGTATTGACTCTCACGTGGATGAGTCCAGATCACATGCCAAATTGGCGTATGTATGTTTTCCTTTCCCGTGTTCTTTCACTTCTTATTGTATATACGCGTTGGTACAAATGTGTATTTGTTCATCACCCCTTTTGAGCTTCATAGGGGTCGTTTGGAAGTTGCGATTGTTAAATAAATGTATTGTTGAGAATGCATGTATAATATTATACATGTATTGTCGAATTTGATGCATTGTAGAATACAATGTTTGGTATGTGTGATTGTGTATGTAGCATCAGCTAAAAGCTGAGACAAAACAATCTCAACTCAACTATCTCAACAATCACAACTAAAAGTTGAGATATAACAATCACTCAAAATGAGTGATAGTTTCTGTCACATCACAGAAACAATCCATGTATTGTTTCTGCTAAAAAAATGATGCATTGTAAACAATACATGCATAATGACAATCTCAACAAAACTATCGCAACTTCCAAACGACCCCATAATTGAAGTCAAGTTGTTAGACATGACATGGTTGTTACTTAGTGGCTCTTGTTGTTGGTCATCAACACACGAGAGACTTCTTAAAGATGAACTTTTCTATTCACTGTACATTGGATGAAATGCACGATCCATCTCCCACAACCGGTGTTTAGCATTGGTCACAATTCTAGCTAAGTTTTATTAGGTCAACTCGTTTGAGACCAACTACTAGAAGTCTATTATAGAAGGTGATCTCCAACCATTTAAATATTTTAAAGAATATCGACATTCATAACAAAAGAAATATCTCAACAAAATTCAAACAATTGATCTCCCTTCCCATTCATCGTATAACTACAACCTCATTCTCTTCGTAAGTCCATTTCATTTTATCATTCACCATCCCACTTTAATTTTTTTTTTTTTTGGCCCGATCAACCATGCATTAAGTGGTAATGAAACATGCACTTTACAATTCACCAATCAAAGTCTATTGTGTGGTGAATTATTAGCATATGTCATATATGGGTGACAAAAGGGAAAATGAAATCCCCCCAAAACCACATTGAATGGCAACCAATCTCTTTCTATCTTTAAATTCATCAATTTCATGGGCCAATGCTCCAATCTCAATCCAAACATCTCCATTTCCTATCCCCACCACCCTTCCTTTTCCCATATCTTTTTGTCAGAGCATCCACATGTACTTCACACAAACGCCCTTCAAATTTGTGGACGTGTTCACCATTATTATTGCATGATTAGCAATGACAACACAAGGACAATAGTACAAAACACACATCAAATTTATTGACGTATAACTAGATTGTCCAATATTCCCCTAAACAAACACTCAAAAACACAAACAAAAAAAACCATATAATGTTGGAGACACATAGGGCTTGGATGCCCAACTACTCTCTTTGCCAAAGTAGCTAGCTTTGCTAGGATGAACCATCCCCACCACATCCCAAATAACCCTCCTTAGCTCCAACTTCTTCACTCCACAAATGCACGTATTCAATCCCCAACTTTGGTGCGCGTAAATATTTCACAATTACATATTTATCGTTATTTAACTTTTACGACCGTTTTTTTCTCGCCCAATTGAGTACTCAGCTTGTGTGTTGCACAAGTTAGCACTCGGGCGTGTGGGTGTGGTCCCTCTGCGGGTCGGAGCAGTAGTCGTACACCATGTGGTTGTTCTGCACCCACACCATGGCCCTCTCCTGTTGCGGGCTCAATCCCCCGTACCCTCTAGGCGAACCGTTGGTGGCGCGACATCCGGGACCCGCGTCGGCCGTGCAGCCTCCGATCTTGAACCCCTTGTACCTGCCGACGAAAGGCTGGTAGTTGTAGTCAGCTCGATACCTACCGTGCTCGGTGGCCCAATCCGATGCATCCCAGATCGAGCCATAGACCCACATTGGCCTCTGTGGGAATGTGGCATCACTTTTCCTTGGATACCTCCTGATTGGCACATCATCAACGTAAAATCTGCCAACCCCAAGGGAAAAAAAGATGTAATTAGTGCCATCACAACATCATTTGGACTATTAGCCCACGAGACAAACAATAATCAATCAGGTGGAGAGACTGACATGATTTCATTGGGGTCCCAAAGGATAGCGTAATAGTGGAAATCCTGAGTAGGGTCGAACCAGAGATGGAACTGCATCTCTCTGCCTATGATGTTCCTATCCCCACTTCCCCTAATGTACACATTCGTCTGCAACGTGTACGGCTTCCCCGGCGTCGTACCCAAGAACTCGATGTCGATCTCGTCGTGCTGGCCTGGATGCGCCTCATTGTTGGACAACTGCAGCCAATCAATCAATCAATCAGGAAAAAAGGGTCAAATTGCTACCGACACTCTAGAGGCAGAGTAATCTCATGCTCTGTTTTTTTCTCCACTTACATAGAAAGAAGTAATGACTCCGGCGGTGTAGCCAGGGTGAAGCTTGATGGAAGCGCCGAAGTAGCCCGATCTGTACGACTCAACTGACTTGTACCCACTTCCTGTTTCGTCGTCAATTCAATGAAAACAGGGGAAAGAAACGATCTTTACAAACATAAATTGATGGACCCAAATTCTGAACATTACCCAAAACAGGAAAACAGGGGAAAGAAACGAACTTTACAAACATAGCTTCATGGACTCAAATTCTGAACATTACCCAAAAAAGGTGTGACAAAATGAAGTCCAATTTTACCTGAGGAACGATCAAGCCAGATCGTTAATGCGTTCTGGTCAAGTCTCTGGTGCTGGGGACCCCAACGGTTCCTGTACTTTTGGTTGAAATCAACGGATTGTGCTCTGTAGCTAGGGTAGTAGGCAGGGTTTGGTGGGTTTTGGGCATCAACGGTTGGAGAAGGAGCATTGAGAAGAACGAGAAGTAGAAAGAGCAGAGCTGAAGAAAGAGCAGCCATTGTTGATGATGATAAGTGAGGAGAAGATAAGAGAAGGAACTGAAGGAAGGGTGTTCTAAATTTTCAGAGGGAAATATGGTTGCTATAAATAAGGGTGGAGAGGTGCTAGAGCCTAGAAATGGGGCCTCTTCTCTTTGTGAGTTGATAGATAAGTTGGTTAAATTTTCTGAGTGGGGGGAGTTATAGATGAAGACAAAAGCTGAAACGCAATAGAAAGTATTGTTGGTTGGTTCCACTTGTATAAGGTTAGTTTGGTGTACATGTAATTCATTGTGTGCATCTATTCCTTACAACTGCATTTTCCTATTTGGAGGTGGTGGGGATGGTGGCTTGTTCCAGGGATGAATTTGATTTTGTCCACTTGAATAAGCAAACATCTTTATGAGAGTATTGGTGTGGTTGTATTATCGGTATAGTTTCGAGTATGCTATATGAAAATGGTAACGTACTCGACTAATTATTAAAATGTTTAAAGTACACGAGGAGGAGTCAATCCAAACTTAAGTAGTATTGTGGGTTAGTGGGTTAAAAAAATGTTTACTGTACGGAATCATTGGAGGAGTCAGTGGTAGTAATGGAGTTAACCCTAAACCCAAGAAGAGCATGCAAGCAATGCGTTTAAGATCAACCTAGTTTCGTAAAATGCGGGAAGAAGGTGTTTGATCATTGATGAATTGGATTCTCGAAAAAAAACGTAACATGACTTAGAAAATATGAAAAGGAACGAACATTCTATAGAGAGGTAGTCGTATTTCTGCATGAGCTCTTTGCACTAAATTTGTTAAGAAAAGTATTGATATACGAAACTCGCTCGTCTAATTATGAGTCACTTTTGACACTGAATATTGCATGACCATAAACGAGGAAAAACATCAGAACAACTTTCTCTCATCCACCACATCAGCAAACATTTCCACGGTTGGCCATCCATCCGATTATTATCTACCCGAGCATTTTATTGTCAACTACATTAAACTATGTGATTAGTTCCTTACTTATGCACAGGTCCCCATTCAACGGGTACTTATTTAACTAGAAATTCTCTAACAATTTGGTCAATCCATGAAATGTGGGCATATGCCATATGGGACCAGACAGACAGTTGCATAAAGAAGAAAAATAACACATTTCGAGGTAACTATATATTAATATCTGTATATCAGTTCAACTGCCTTCCTGAGCAGTTTTTCACCAGCAGGTAGATGAGGCCTGGCCACCTAGCTTAGCTCCTTCTGGTGTGCTTATATTTCACAGATGTCTCCTCTTTGTTTTGTTTATAAAGACAAAAGCCAATCTTAATTCCATCAGCATGATTGTCGTGCATGCGTGACAATCGTATGTATCAATTGAATTCGAGTAGAAGTCACTAGATGATTTTTTTGTTAAAATTTAAGAACATTTTAAAATGATAAGAAATATGAGATGTTTTTAGTTTTTGGAAGGAGTAACTAACACTATATAGTCGTTGTAATTTTAAAGCAAAAGTTATGTATACCGATTCGATAGAAAATAATTTGGACCTAGATATTAGTCAATCTGTATCTGTTCTCGAACATTGTTGATCTAATCAAAATCATCGGGAATATAACAATACCATAATCTTGATCTAGCTCAAGGCGTATTAGTGGTTGGCTAGCTTGCTCGAAGGAAGGAAATTAGCCACTTAATTTCTCTGAATCTATAATTATAGTACGTAGTCTCAATTATATTGCAATATATATAAACTATACCAAATTTGTGGAATTTTTGCCCGCCCCCTGGCCTACGTAGGTGGGTGGACCCTGGTTTGCCGACACACTGATATATCACAAGAGCAGGAAATAATTAAGCTACATAAACCCAAGTAATTAATACTATAATAAGAATTTTTTATAATAGCAACAATAACAATTAATTGATTAATAATAATAACGATGAGAAAGTAATTAATGGAGGATGGTAACGACATCACGTATCCCATTCAATCAAAGCCGAATTTGATGCGGGCGATCAAGAGAAAGAGATCTCTCTAACATTATTTTTATAAGTTTTGGAAGAATCCAAGAACAGGTTAATGATCCTGTCATTTTCGAGTTTTCCAACCCAATATACACCTACTGATAAGATTGATTAATGGCTTTACCATTCCTAACACTCCAACTTTTTCACTGTGTAATAGAAAGCACTACTATTAATTCTTTTTGGTACGTAGTAAAGGAAAAATAAGCCTATCTTTTGAACAATAGCATGATTCTTGAAGGAAATTAAAAGATAATTAATTCATTGTGATGCATGACTCAAGCTAGTACATTAACTTCAAGGGAAAGATAATACAAAAAGAGGAAGGGCAAGGTTGAACCTTGTAAGTGGAAACTAAAACTAGGATCATCATCACATCGATTACTGAATCATATCGTCTGTTCATGTCAAAGTTTTTCGACCAAATGGTACATACCGATGTAATAATTAACTCAAAATAAACTAAATAAAGGGAACATATGTAAACTCTTTAACTAATTGTCATAGGGTGGAGAAAAATAATATGGTGTCTGTAGATTGTAGGATTTGGATTAGGTTGGATACTGATAAGTTTACAATGAGGCGTCCACACGAGCTAGTTAATGTATGCATGGAATCAGGGGCGGATTCAAGAAGATACTCTTAATATTCGAGTAAACTTGTTATCTATCAGATAGTAGTTTTATGCATTTCAAACTCGATAACTTCTAATAGTTAGAGCAAAATTGTCCTTTACACCACAGGTTGTTTCTTGTTATAAGTTCCAAATATTGAATACATTCTTATACATTAAAACAAAATCCAATTAAATATCAATTTACCCAATTTCCCATCCAGGAAACATAATCTATATTCTGTTCAACTCTTCCCCATCTCACCTTCACGAAATTAAAAGAAACAACAAAACAAGTTGCCAAGATAGATACTGCCTCGATTCCGCCACTACCGACTCCCTTCTTCTTTATCTGTTCCTCCCTTCTTAGTTTTAATTTTCTTAAACTTTATGAAAAATGCCTAAGCGTAGAATTTCTAAGTCGACCACTGCTCATAACATTTTTATTAGTAATTTGGAATACTTAGCATACTCGACATGATCGATTTACTATATTACGAAGTATATATCTCGCCTCTATAGGATTACAACTATACAAGTTAAAATGAAACAATGGCATGATGATATTATATATCCGTCTAATTTGGAATTTAACCTTCCATTTTAATATTTGATGACACATTTCAATCACAAAGTTGATCATATCCATCAAAACAGAACCTGCGTCTTAATGTTGATCACTAGGTTTTAACTTCCATGCATTCACCATTAACGAACTAATCAGTTTGATCGATCAGAGCAGGTACAATACAGTTATCTATCTATCTAGCCAAAAGCATGCACACGTCTTCATGTTGATCATCATGGCTAGGTTTACACTTCAACTAATTTGCGTTGGATCGAGGAGTCTAATCCGATTGGCATTGATATTAACACATATCCAGAAAATATGGCATCACGATGATGATGAATTGGGCCCGATCCGATCGCCGATCCGATCCATGCAGCATGATTTCGACGTCGACCCATATTTGAAAACGAAACGCTCGAGCTCGACCATTTTGATCTGTAAAATATTTATTTGGCGATCGAGAGCTTATCTATTTTTATGTATATATAGATAAGAATCAAGACGAGAATTATGCAACAAAGAGATATACAAAACAAAGGCAAATTGGCGTACCTACAATACAATATCATTACTAGCCAATGAAATGTCGGTTACAAGAGATCTATCCAAATCTTGGTTAATTGATTGGCATTAACCACGTAGGATAATCATGGAGTTCATCATGAATCCATGGTGTATAGTAATTACAATTTACAAGATAATGCAGTGACGACTGATTTTTTTCGAACTACTTTTTCATGAATTTTATAGGAATTCGTCCGGTCGATTTCTTTAATATGTTAGTATAACTAGTTGGTCCTAGCTAGTACCTCTAAATTTGTTGAGAAAGTTTCAATCGCGTCCATCTTTTTTTTTTTTTTTCAAAAGAAATCTAACGGTATAGACGACGTACAATTTCACTTTACAGGCAAAACTCTAGTTTGCATGATGATCCGAAGTATCAAGCTCTTTGGAATCTCATCACACTTAGTAGTACTTAATTAGTAAAATCATGCAATAGTGTTTAGTTTAAGGAGTTAATAACGAACTATTTCGGATCTGCATGCCATCGTAATCTTGCTTATATAGCTAGCAGCTGCATTTGAGGTCAACACTCTCGGCTAGCTGCCGCAGATATATTATATATATAATAAAATATACTTCTAATCTTCTGCTACGCATGCAAAATACTTTGGAAGTTGAAAATCGTGACGGTTACGTTCATTAATGGCGCTAATTAATTTCTCGTATTAACATATGATTGACGGAACTGACAAGTGACCAAAGCTAAATCGCAAACTACTGATTTGTACGCATGGGACGGCCGGCCGCCGGCCATGTAAAGTTACGTCCTTCACGTTTGATTGATTAGCCTGTTTTGTTCTCTTCTAAGCACAACAATAATCGTATCAAATCTTCGATAAAAACAGTGGGCATGACGATAATATGTAGCACGAGAGTAGTTAATTAAAGAGTTCTGTATATATATTCGTTCTTTTATAAGGAAACCAACAGTTAACGAACAGAGGAAAAAATACAGGAAGTAGCTGGACTTTCTTTACCGCTTGTGGTAGCTAGTGGCCAATATCAAAGTCAAACAGTAGAATAAAACTAATTAAAGGATTTCAACGCGACAGATATTCAACCACCAGCAGCAGCTCAAAAACGTAAATGAAGCTAAGCTTCGTTTTTTTTTCTTCCATGCTCAATAAATTCGTTTCTCGATCGGCTAGATGTACCATATTTCGTAGCTTGGGTTAGGTAAATCATTTCGATAGGCTACTTCAATGCTAAGTCGGCAACTCAATCCAGCTTGATATAATATGGAAATGGTGTGAACACTCTGTATTCGTACATCTTCCAATAGTTTGAGTTGTTGGATCGATGAAGTTTATCATAGTGATATACTATGTTTATTGATGATGGGAAATGCTACAAAACATGATTCAAAAAGCGCAATTAATCTTACATAAGCTACACAAAAAAGTATTGTTCATAGATTTCACAGCTAGTTAAGCATCCATAATACGGTGGTGTAGTAATTAAGGTGATATTTAGATGTTGCCCAAACATATATATAAGCGGAATTAAGCAGAGCGAGAAAGTTAACATAAAAAGGGCAGAAACGACATCTTCTATGTACAAACTATATATTCATTCTTAGTTTTTTTCAATATCTCACGAACTTATTTGTTGAGCCACCGAGCTATGATACTATAAACTTGCGACCTATCTTGCTTGTTGCTTAAAAAGTTAAGTAAGTTATTAAAATCATATGAAACGAAGTGCAAAAGTGTTGTGAAATTGATAATTCATTCATTATTTTTTTGTACGAGCTCTTAATTTTTATATTACAACGCCTATACGCGGTATGGACAACGCTTAAACGAATTAGTCGTTACGAAGATCCCAACCCCCTAGTTTACGATTACAACTTCTTAAATCTTCCTACGTATCAAACGAATGTATGTAGCCAGAATCGGGAGTAATTAGGAGACTTCAGCCTCGACCGACAGTTTTGGCACTGTGCATGCATGGGATTCCTTCAAATGTAAAGAGGAAGATTAATTAGTCCTAAGTCCTAACTAACAATTATTATACTCTAATGACGAAAATATATACAATAATATGTCTTTTTCCTTCTTTTGGAAACTTGTACCAATTGAGACCTCTAATTTTCTTTATTATTACGTACAATCCGTCACCAAGCATGATTAATCAATTACAAATAAAAGGAAGAAAAAAAGATCGCGTGGATGGCTCTTGTTCGCCATTTTCGTTAGATGCGTTTTCCATTGCATGCATAAAATAAGGTTTAGGTATATACAATTATACATTGCCCCGAAATGATGAAGGTAGGCTTCACAAAGAAAAAAACAAAGGCACAGTTGCTCGATGTGATGGGTGCTCTTCTCTGCATATAATTAATAATCATCATCATTGGCTCATCTCATCATTAATTGATCATTTCATTGAATTGGCAGCGTTCAATTTTAGTAGGCGAACTCTTTAGGTAGTCATTCATGGTGTTGCATAAATTCTTCATTGCTTGAACCATAACATTATGTACGGGTCAGCACAAAGACTGATATGATAATTTACTTTCTTTAGAGATTTGTATCATATGATATTGATATATATATCTATATGGTGGCGTATTCGGTGCACCCGCCTCATAATTGTCATTCTGACTATGCGATTCATGTCAAAACGGTATCAATTGTTGCTTATGATATTATGAACAAGAAGCACATGAATTTTAAAAAAATTCATTCAAAATTTACTTTAATTTGAAGGTTTTAGGATTTAGGGATTTAGGGTTAGGGTTAGGTTTACAATTTGGGATTTTGGGTTGGGATTCAAAATTGAAGGTTAAGGGGTTAGGGTAATGGATTGATTTGTTATGATTCTATTTCATATCATCATATTATATTGAGAGTACTAATTAAAGTTCAAATTTGATGTATTATGGACGCTTTTAGAGTTGGGTGCACTGAGTGCACCCAAAAAAGTGAGTGCATCGAAGTAGCCACTATATATATATATATATATATATATGCTCCCAATTTTGTATTTTTTTTTTTACTACTTCGGCTTCTTCTTTGGCTTTAATTTTTATTTGATGTGGTCTCAGAGTGACAAATATGAATTACATTTTACTCGGTGATACGTATCCAATGGAATCCTAGATAGCCAATCGACACAGAGATTCCGCTCCAGTGGAGTATGATGCTGTTAGTTGGAGACATTTAAGGGGTCTTTTGGATGGATCAATTGAAAAACGAGATAATTTTGCCAATTGTCTCATTTTTATAAATTGAGTTATTTAAAACGAGTCAATTTTGAATTGTCTGTCCCCACTCCAGACAATTGTAATTGTCTCAAAACGAGTCAAAGTGCCCAGACATAATTGCTTCATCTAAATTTGGTGCTACCATACAGATCAATATGACCATATTGTCTCAAAATGAAACAATTGAGTCAAATTGATCCGTTAGAATTTCTCATCCAAACGACGCAAGTAGATTATGTGTATAGCCTATATCAACACCGTTCGACGCAAATTAAGCCCATGACATGCATGAGCTGGGCTTAATATACGATTGGGTAAGTACGTAAAAGTTGGAAATGGTAATCCGTAATTGAAGATCAACAGGCTATCTATATTGGGCTTTCTCAAAAGGGTAATTTAGGCCTCAATCAAATATCGGCCCGACCCACGATAAACGAGCATGAGCAAAAACGTCGTCGTAATAGTTTCTAGCCTCTTTGTTCTTTTTGGCGTTTACCCGCGGTCACGCGTCGTCTCTTTTTCAACTTTTCTAGATCGAATAATAATCTTCCCGGTGGCTTCGTCCTCCTCCTTCCGCCACCACGATATCATCGACTAACTACTACCTGAACCCTAATATTCCCCCATCCCTCTCCCAGAAATTTCCGCACTTTCAGATTCCCACTTCATAATTTCATTTGTCTTCCTCCTGAGAGTCAGAACTTTCGACGTACCATCGATTTTTCCATTGTTGTAAATCAGATCGATAGTTGAGCTTCGCATTCGTTAGCGCAAGTCGTCCATTTGATCGACGATTTTCGCATCGGATCACAGCGATCCTAGTGTGAAAAATCTCTGAAGATGGAGAAAGTGAGGAACTTGATAAAGCCCAAGGTGAATCCACAGCAGCAGTTGAGGGATTGGCAGCGGAGGCTCCGTCAAGAGTGCCGCAACATTGAGCGTCAAATCAGAGGTACTCTTTCAAGTTTGATTGCTTGTATTTTGATCGGGTGTTGATCGTCCTCTTTTTTATTGTTCTTATGTAATTCTATGGATTTTGATTGTGGGATTCCGGGTTGAACTTTTTGTAGATATTCAGAGAGAAGAGAAGAATGTACAGAAAGCAATCAAAGAAGCAGCCAAGAGAAACGACATGGGTTCTGCTAAGGTAACTTTCTATACATGGTTTGCCTCTACCGTACCTTATCCTTAGTGAATCATTTGATTTAGGTAGATTTGTGAAGTTTGACCTTGATCAGTGGCGTTTTTGTGAACAATGGTGGTGCTTTTGCTCCTGTTGAGAGACATAAACATAGGTAGTTAGGATGCTAAGAATGTTTTATTTCTTTTTGGTGATGGGATCATTCTCTGGTTATTTGGATTGCCGAGAAACAAATGAGCAAACTTAGATGGTTGTTCTTTTATACTCCGAAGGACTGTTAGTGTTGATGCTGAATTGTGTTTCTTGCTGATCGAGATTGCCATTCTTCTCTTACTTGAGTAGAGAAACTTTGATATCGAGCAACTCAGGGATCAGGATATGTCATCAGCACCTTGTTATACTGTCTTGTTGTGATTAATTTGTTTTCTTATACATTGCCTAGTCGCTTGCTAAGGAACTTGTGAGATCTAGGCAAACAGTGAACCGTCTTCATGAGAACAAGGCGCAAATGAACTCAATATCAATGCACCTTGGAGAAAGCGTGGGTGTGTATATCTCGTACTTCAGTTCCATTGCACTAATTTGTCACGGGGATGCGTTGTTAGCCTCTTAATCTGTTTTATTCCTTGCTGATCTCAGCAATTGCACGCACTGTGGGACACCTGTCAAAGAGTGCCGACGTTATGAAACTGGTCAATAACCTGATGAAAGCTCCTGAAGTTGCTGCTACTATGCTAGAGTTCAGCAAAGAAATGACCAAGGTTTCTACTTTGCCTTCTTTTTCCTCTTCATTTCCTTCACATGAGTTTTCACGTTCTATCTGCATATTACATTTTCTAAGTTTCAAGGAGTATCGATTTATTCTGTTATCATAATGTAATTGTTCTAAAGTGTATTACTTTGCATTCAGCTTCAATCCTCAACAATCATGGACCATCCATGAAAACATATATTTACCTATTTGTGGTTGTTATTTTCAGGCTGGAGTGATTGAAGAGTTTGTGAATGAAGCTGTGGACAATGCTCTGGACACAGAAGATATGGAGGAGGAGATTGAGGAAGAAGTGGACAAGGTGTTGACTGCTATAGCTGGCGAGACTGCAGCTGAATTACCACAAGCAGTCAGAAAGGAGAGAGTAAAGCAACCAGCTCAAACTGCTCGAGCAGCAGAGGTATGTGCTTAAATTAATATAACACCAAGATAAAGAAGTCACGTGTCTTAGTCTTGTTAGTCTTGCATTATAATCTGTGATGTAAAGTAGAAAAAACTTGTTCTGCTATTTTAGGAAGAAGCCATTGCCGAGGGTGGCGATGATGAGGAAGAACTAGAAGAGATCAGGGCTCGACTCGCCAGAGTTAGGTCATAAGCAATATCAGTTCCTTCAACTGCTCATCTTTTAGACACTGAGCTTCTTTACCTCGACATATTATTGCTGCAGAGGGAACTCTGATGTATGACGGGGAATCGGACTAAAAGGAGAGGTGTTTGTGTTCTGTATAATTTTAGCAGCCTGTAACTCAAGTGGCCGCCATTTGTATCCTTACTTGATGACATATTGTTTTGCGACTATTTCACACACCTCATTTGTATAAAATGGAAGTAGATGATGAAGAAGTAAATATCTTTTCAACCCTTCAATGGCTTGGCTTCTATGTGACCCTTGAGATCACGGTTCACAGTTTTATCTGTGGCTGGACTGTCGAAGTGGATAATATCAGCGCATTGACCTTATGCCGAGGGATCAATGGCTGCAATTAAGGTTTTCTAAAAATTGTAAATCGAAAAACAGAGTATGATCTTTCTGTCATCAAGCAGATCTCAAAACTCATAATGAAAACATCCACTAAGTGAATCTGTCAAACCCTTCTCTGGTGGATGATCCATATCCCTTTCCAAAAGCACTGATTTACAGTTTCAACGGGTTGGAATGTTGGAAGTTGGAAGCCATAAGTTTGTTTGTTTTCGTATTTAAGCCCCTCTTCTCACTCTTTGGTGAATACCATGCTTTGTCCAAATACTGAACAAACTGCACAAAAACAAACAGAACCCTTGTATCTCAGATATCTTGCACGCAAGATCATCATCTCTTTCCCTAATAATCCTTCTCAAAAGACACAGGAGAAAATGGCCTAAAATATCTAGATAAAAATTCTGTTATCGGTATAGAAAAGCAAACAGCAAAGAGAACTACCAGAATAATAACAGCCAAGGGAAGAACTAACTTGAAATGCATTTCTGTTGAGACCTTTCCCCCAAAGTAATTCAATACGTCAAGATTTTAGTCAATTCGAGAAACTGGATAGGTAGGGAAGGAGGCAACATTTACTAATATAAGTTTTTACATATAGCGCGAGGGTGTGAACTTATTCATTACAAGTAGTTGTTTCTGATCTATCTAAAACAATCGAGAGGGTGTCAACTTACACAGTGAAAAATATCGATTTCGAATAAGGTGATTCTTGGTTAAAAATTTACTGTAGTCATTGTGAAGAATACCACTTATTAGAAGAAGTTATGATGCATTTTTATTAATTTCTTCCATCACGATTGAGCCGAAGATTTTAGTAATTACTTGTACACGATATCTTTGATGGTGAAATAAATATGCCAACATTTTATTCGATTTGTGAAAAATAGTTACCATTGTGATTACTCAATTTAGAAATATTGTTTGTCATGGGGACAATTTACAGCTTCCTAGTATGTGCCAATTCAACCACATGGTTGTTAGGCAAAACTTGACTCTTTGACTCTTTGTGCATGGTTACTGGAGAATCCATCCACATAAATGAAAACGGTTGGGATATTCCTCGACACTCGACAGTTACTACTTCTTACTCTAGAAAATTACCATGGGTGGATTTTTTTTTTTTTTTGACTTAGGTAGATAGTTAATAGATAGGAAAATACAACGAGTTGAAAAGTAAATAACGATAATCAGCCAATTGCCGATCAACCGATGCAAGAGCCGTTTTCGCCACGCAATGGGCAGCCCTGTTAGTATGCCGAAAGAAGACCATGGGTGGATTTAGACGGCCAAAAAAATGAAAAATAAAGAAAATTTCCACACTATATATACAACCAAAGCTTCTCCACCATCTCCACATCATATCCCATCACACTTCCAAAAAGAACAACAATGGCTTCATCATCCTCCTCCTCGAGTTCCCCTGCAGCTCGCTGCTTCACTCTGACTCTGTTCCTCCTCTTCACCTGTTCACTCGCCGCTCCCCTGAGATACCAACCGTCACCTTCCCAACTGAAACTCGACTCTGCAAAGATCGCAGCAAAAGGGCAGGCTGAGAGGATGATCAGGTCCCTCAACTTGTTCCCCAAGCACGAAGCCAACGTCGTGTTCAACGACCAGTCGGCCCGAGACGAGCCCCGAATCAGCGAGAAGAAGATCAGCCTGAACGTCTCCGGCGGGCCAGTGCCGTCAATTCAGCAGTTTGGTCACTACGCCGGCTACTATTCCCTTCCCAACACCAAAGGCGCCAAGTAAGTTTTAACACTAGTCTAACGAAACAGAACACAATTGGGCAGGCAGGATAATGTCACATTGGTCCACCAAATTTCCAATCTAACCTTTCTGACCACGGTTTTAAATTTTTTGGTAGGATGTTCTACTTCTTCTTCGAGTCGAGGGTGAACAAGACGGATGCCCCCGTCGTGATTTGGCTGACCGGCGGGCCGGGTTGCGGCAGCGAGGTGGCGTTGTTCTTCGAGAACGGTCCTTTCAAACTTAACAACGACTTGTCTCTTGAGTGGAACGATTATGGTTGGGATATGGTAAAACAATCATCATCTACTTGTCCTTGATGATCTTTTTCGCGATTCTCATAAAAATTCACGTGAATATTCGATTTTTTTTTTCTTTCTCTTAGGCATCAAACATATTGTTCGTGGACCAACCGACCGGAACAGGGTTCAGCTACACGACCGACAAAAATGACCTTCGAAGCAACGAGGCTGACATCAGCAACGATCTCTACAACTTCCTTCAGGAGTTTTTCAAAGGACATCCCAAATACGCGAACAACGACTTCTACATCACCGGAGAATCGTACGCCGGGCACTACATCCCTCCTCTAGCTTCCCGAATCTTCAAAGGAAACAAAAACAACGAAGGAATCCACATTAACATGAAGGTAGAGCTAGTCTCCCTCTCCCAATTCAATCCCTCCCTAAATCAATCTCTTGATCAAATGGATTACCCTCAGATTTTTTTTTTCCTCTTATGAACAGGGATTCGCCATCGGAAATGGCCTCACTGACCCTGCAATCCAATACAGAGCCTACCCTGAATTCGCCCTCGCCGCGAAACTAATCTCCAAGTCCGACCACGACTCGATCGTCAGCGAACTCGTCCCGGTTTGCGAATCCGACATCGCCGATTGCAACGCTCATGGCGGGGACCCCTGCCTGTACGGACAAGACAGTTGCAACTCTATCTTCGAGTCCATTCTCAGCATAGCCCGCGACATAAACGTAAGCCGGAAAAAAAATTCCACTTCCTCCCCGAATAATTGAACATCTCCCAACAACTCGAGTTATTGAGGGTTTTTTTTTCCGCACAGTACTACGACATCAGGAAAAAATGCGTGGCCGACAACTGCTACGACTTCTCGGCCATGGAGAAATTCCTGAACGACGGCGCCGTGAAATCGGCGCTGGGAGTGAAAGACATCGACTACATTTCTTGCAGCAGAGGAGTCTACGAAAAGTTGAACGGAGACTGGGTGATCGACTACGAGACCGGGATCCCGAATTTGCTGGAGAACGGGATCAAGGTGCTGATCTACGCCGGGGAGTACGACCTGATCTGCAACTGGCTGGGGAACTCGGAGTGGGTCAACGCGATGAAGTGGTCGGGTCAAAAGAAGTTCCATGCGGCCGCCGACGTGCCGTTCGTGGCCGGCGGTGAGAAGGCAGGGGAGCTGAAGAGCTATGGGCCGCTGGCCTTCTTGAAGGTGTACAATGCGGGCCATTTGGTCCCCATGGATCAGCCGAAAGCCGCGCTGCAGATGCTGGAAGGCTGGATGCAGGGGAAGATGACGGCCGGAGCTACCAATCGGAAGATTTCGCTGGTTTGAGTTGAGGAAGAAGAAATGAAAAGGAATTGTTGGTAACATATAGAATGACTATACATAGATACAAAGAAAAGGTCAGAGTATAAGGGTTTGGAGTTGTGGAATTTTAGTAAGATATGCTGAATGCTAATACTTCTATCTTATGAGATTGAGGTGAATTATGGAAATGATTTAAGGTATGAATGAGTTTACTTTCGTTGAAAGCGCATATCGATTTACATACTTTCGGTTGAAACTCGACCGAACTTGTCCCATTTATTCCTGTATACCAACTTATTTCCTCACAAAGTCATAACCTAGCCAGCAGTAGGCTTGATTCCGAATCCTGACTGGATACGGATTATGGGCTTCCAGCCGACATGGCACATTAGTTCTGTAGAGACTGAATTAAGATTCCGAAGAAGATCCAATGGAGGCATCTGAACGTGGTACAAAATTCGGCTTCTGAATCTAAAAAGTCCTTTGGCCACTGATTTGGCCATAAGAGATGCCGTTTCAGTTTGTACATTGGAGAAGCTGATGAATCTCTGATCAACATGTTCATTGGACTTTGAATTCTAAACGTGCAAGTTTCATTCATTGGAACCTATAAAATAAGCCTTCCGAAACCCATAAACCATATCAAAATCATTTCATTCCCTCTTTAAGAAAACCCAACAATGGAGGCTCTGCGTTTCATATCCTGCACTCTGCTTCTGTTCTCATGTTCCTTCTCGGATGCCCTGAGATACCCTGTTTCTCATAAGAAAGAGTTCGAATCGGATTCCAAAGTGAACTTGGGGAATGGACAGGCGGAAAGGCTGATCAGGTCGCTGAACTTGTTCCCGAAGCACGAAGCCAACGTAGTCCTGAACGACCGGCTGGCGAAACGTGCTCCGGGAATCACGGAGAAGCAGTTCAGTTTGAATGTCACCGGCGGCGGCAATGGCCCTTCCATCAAACAGTTTGGTCACTACGCTGGCTATTATTCTCTTCCCACCACCAAAGCCGCCAAGTAAGTCTAATGAACGTATGCTAGTTGAGGTTTCGGTTCAAGTAGCCTCAAATGTTAATGCTGGATTCTCTTTAAATTTCTTCAAGGATGTTCTATTTCTTCTTCGAGTCGAGGGTGAACAACAGCAATGCGCCGGTGGTGATATGGCTGACCGGCGGACCAGGGTGTGCCAGCGAGCTAGCGTTGTTCTACGAAAATGGTCCTTTTCAGATTAGAGACGACATGTCTCTTCAATGGAATGACTATGGCTGGGATCAGGTAACTTAACACTGTTATTCTGATTCTTGACTTGCCTATATTCCACTGAAAATGGATTCTGAAATCGACCTTTTTCCTCAGGCATCAAACATATTGTACGTTGATCAACCGACGGGGACAGGGTTTAGCTACACGACCGACGATAGTGACATCCGACACAATGAAACCGGTGTCAGCAATGATCTGTATAGCTTCCTCCAGGTCTTGTCCTCTCTTCCTCTGTTTTTTCATTCTTGAACGTTTGGTTTTCCTCCTCTGTTTTTCTCCTGACACGGTTGCTGTATCTGGTGGTTTTTTCAGGAATTTTTCAAAGGACACTCCAAATATGCAAACAATGACTTTTACATCACAGGAGAATCTTACGCCGGCCATTACATTCCTGCTCTGGCTTCTAGGATTTACAAAGGAAACAAGAACAATGAAGGAATACACATCAACCTGAAGGTAATACCTCATTTCATTCTCCATGACTGAATGTAGTAATCACAATTTATCCAGTGGTTCTCAGGAATTCAGCTTTCTTTCTTCATATACAGGGCTTTGCAATTGGAAATGGCCTTACTGATCCTGGAATCCAATACAAAGCCTACCCAGAGTATGCTCTGGCTGCAAAACTCATCACAAAGGCTGATCATGACTCAATTACCAGCAACCTGGTTCCACCTTGCCAATCCGCCATTTCAGCTTGCGGTAATAAGCTTTCAGAACAAACACTATCCTCAGCTCAGCTATTCCCCTTTCCTTTAAAAACCTCTGACAACCCCCAATTGCAGATTCTGCAGGCGATGATGGTTGCACCGAAGCTTTGTCCACATGCCAGGAAATCTTCAGTTCCATAATGAGCATTGCTGGTTCTATTAATGTAAGAAATCTCTCCGCTAACTCATTACAAAACTACAGACTCCTAATTACACAGCCAACTCAAAATTAAAAGTTGCCAACTTTGCAGTACTACGATATCAGAAAACAATGCGAGGGTTCACTCTGCTACGACTTCTCTCGAATGGAGCAGTTCCTCGGCGATGACAATGTGAAATCGGCACTGGGAGTGAAAGACATCGACTTCGTGTCCTGCAGCAGTGTAGTCCACAACGCGATGATGGGAGACTGGATGGTCGACTACGAAACCGGGATCCCGACCCTCCTGGAAAACGGGATCAAGGTGCTGATCTATGCTGGAGAGTACGACCTGATATGCAACTGGATGGGAAACTCGAACTGGGTTAACGCCATGAAATGGTCGGGACAACAGAAGTTCCAGGGTGCTTCGACCGTTCCATTTATGGCCGGAAACACAAAGTCAGGGGAGCTGAAGAGCTATGGACCCTTGGCTTTCCTGAAGGTGTATAATGCCGGCCATATGGTGCCCATGGATCAGCCCAAGGCCGCGTTGCAGATGTTGCAAGGTTGGATGCAGGGGAAGATCTAACAATAATACTCTGATTCTTAATTCAGGGGGTAAAAGCATCGAGATTTCTGTATACTGAAATTGACTTGTTGATATAAATTTGTAATGATATCATGAATAAGAATATAAGATGACGCCATTGATTATTTGGCATAAACTCTGCACCATGTTTATGTTCTACCAGAGTTCCACCCAATTGGTTAGAGTCTTAGAGAACGAACCTAATTACAGGGTTTAGAGTTGGACCTAACTCAAGCCTGGTCTGGCCTTGTACAGTTCCCTCAAGCTTTTGATCGCCGGCTGAAATCCAGTCCGCAGAGGAACAACGGCAGCTGCTCTGAGATGCTGCGCATTCCCATTCTTCGGCTTTGTAAGTGTCATCTTCATCATCTCCCCTTCCAGAATTTTCCCGGCATTTGCCGCTTCACAAAAACAATTGGGACCATTCTGGTGTAAGAGCTTGATAGCCGGAAAATGTCATTTCTAGCAAAGCGTAAAACGGGAAAAGACTAGTTACCGGCAAAAGGATGAAACTTTGCGAAATCGAAGAACTCATCGGCGGAGCAGCCGATTAGGACTCTCGCTGCCCTGTCGAAGCACATCACATTGAAAACCTCCGTGTCCGTGGCGATTGAGACCTATCTCCGGAAGAGAAATAGAAACAAAGCACGCAATCGTCAATTTCTCGGCGAACCCTAAGGACGAGGAGGGAGGTGAACTTACGAGGAGGCGAAAGAAGCGGACAGGCGGCGGTGGAGGACGGCCGGAGTTGTAGTTGGGGCAGAATTTGCAGACGGGATTGGGAACGTCGGGAAGGGTTCGCTCGCAGACGGAACAGGCTCTGTAGGAGAGGTTGGTGTGATCCATTGCTATCACCGTGCACATCACTGTTCCTTCCATGGCTACCGCTCTCGGCTCTCGCTGCCGCTGTCTGCTTCACTCCGTCGGAGTCTCGCAGTCTAATTAGCTTTTAAGGGCGTGTTCGGTAAATGCTTATTTATTCCCATTTCCCAGTCAATTCTAAACAACAGTCCCACTCGTTGGATTAGAGTGAAAATTCATCATGATCGACACCAACTTAATTTACTGGCTAATAACCATTTATGTTTAGTCTGAACCAATCAAATTGTTAAGAGGAAAAGAGAAGTGGCTAAAACAGTACAATCAGATGATTAACAAGCGCGACTAAACCCTTTGCTGTTGTAACAAAGTATTTTTACAGATTGGTATTTACAACAACAAAAAAGTAAATAAAGGAGCAAGAATCTTGCCGGGCAAAAGCAGCAAGCTCTCTTCCAGCCTCCTTATCAAAACCGCCATGCAAGAGAAACCTTCAAAACTCACTACCGCCTTCAAGATTGAGGAAAGAATAAAATAGCAGATGCCCTTTTCATATCTGTGCAGCTGAACAGGCTTCATTTACTCAGGAAGTGCCCGATTGATGGTCTGCTGCTGCAACTCCGGGAGAACACAGGAATTGCTCATTTTCTGCATACTGGCAGTTCTTTACATCTAGTTAAGAGTGTACTATATAACACAGCTCAGCTGACAAAAAAATGCATATTGTCAAAGAACCAACAGCAATGTCTTGTTTTCACTCCAGGATAGATAACCACTCTTCAGCCAGTTCCAGCGACCAGTCTGGAAACCTGTTTGATTCTCTGCGTGGTGACCACCATCTTTACCAACTAAATCATCGGCTTATAAGGAATATCTAACTTTTCTCCGAGAACTGATATATGTTTATCAACCGAGTTTGAAGGCTAATCATGGAGCAGACAGGTCATCAATCAGATCTGGCAGTGGTAAATGATGACAGAAGACCTGCAGCTTGGGCAGGTAAAATATCGCCGAATGTTGACATGGCAGCGGCTGATCTATCTTTGAACATACCGACTTGTCCATCTGTCAACATGGAGCCCAGCTTCATGGTGCTTTCACCAAACCTGCTCCCTACCTAGATATTACAACAGGGCAAGTCAGCTATTACACACAACCTAGTGAGTTTTAGAACATGAACTTGCAAGAATGCGATTAAGAAGTTGTACCTGCATGAAAGACTTAAAAATTGGTGCTGCTGCACTGAAACTTGAACTGTCATCAAAATCAAGCTTTGAAGGAAGTTCTCTGTTTCCATAAGCTTTCAACAAATTCCTGGAAGACGCATCATCTATGGATGCTGGGAAGGATGACTTTGTAGTCCCTCGGGAAGACAATGCAGGCGCACTGTGAAATCGAAGGAGGAAACCCCAACTTAGACCACACTTGATAACAATAAAACAAAGCTGTCCTTATTCCAGAAGACAAATGTTTCAGCAATTAGAATATTCTGCAACAAGCAGAAAGGTACCTGATTGGCAAGTATTTGAAGCGAGGAACAGTAGAGCATAGCATGATATTTGATTCAGGATTAGTGGGTAGCTTGTGCACAGTATCCGTGTACATGCGATTTAGTTGCACAAAGAATCCAAACAAGACGGCATGTCGCAGGTATGATTGTCTCGCATTCTCCCAAAGGTATGGCTCATACCTTCATCAAGTGAAGTAGGTTACAAAACATGGAAATATTCAACTTTGCTTCGATTCTCAATTCCCATAGGGAACTAACAGAATCATTGAATAAACACTTATGCAAGTTATTAAAGTCCATAATTTTTCCCGATGAACAGAGTTCGTATACTAATTGGTACAGGGTCATTCAGAAACCTTACGTTTGCCAGTCGATCGGATCCAATCTTTGTGAGGAAGTTCGGATCAACACATTGATCCGTTCTCTGAAGACTGCCTTCGTTTGGCTCTGATCCTGCTTCTTTCTGTAAGAAACCTTCACTTTGGGATTTCTAGATAACTCCTTGGCAGTGTTGGAATCTGCTCCTGAAAGCACATCAGCTGCAAATCTCAGATCCAACAGGATCTGTAGTACGCCTTTCTCTGATACTGGAGATCCTTGAGAATCCCTTGAAGAAAGGAAGTGGTCGTATATTTCAGAAACCTGCGCATGGAAATGGTTCAATCTTACACAAACTTTTCATCACCGTCGGAGATAGCATATTATATAAAAAATCTGTTTAGTCACTAACAAGGGCCAACTTTCTCTAACCCTACTAGCTAACTGCATACTGAAAATTAAGGTAAGCATCCACCATTCCACAAATATCACAGCAACAATGACCGAACTGCAGACAAATGCGGACCATTTGAAGCTGAAGAAAATGTAGTTGATCCAACCGACACCACTTCATGCCATGCTTCAACTTAGAAAAATGCATTTTAAGATATATACATATCAGACATGAAACCGACAGTCCCTCATAGATCTTTAACAATCGAGCAGCAAAAGGAGCTGGATATGAAGCCATAATGACAAGAGAACTTCAAAGGTGCACAAAAAAAAAAAAAAAAACCTGTGAGAAAAGAAAGAGGCTGCCTCAACTGAGATTCGAAGCAACAGAAAGAAATTGTCCTTACCTTTTCCAATAGTCTTGAGGCAAACTTTTGCAGGATTGCTTTGTCGAGTACATGGCCTCCAATTCTATGAATCTCTTCACATGCACGGAACAGAAATGAGATAACATAGAGAGAAGGCATGGAAGGGAGTGAAATCTTCAATTCAGATGGGTTGTCATCGGACTGCTCTTGCTTAACTACTGTTTCGTCCCAACCCTGGCCAAGAATACAGGAGAAGGAAAAAAAACTCAAGGATTCTATATGATATAAAATGCTCCACTTCGTTATCTCATCTTCTCTTTAGGCAATAGGTTCAACTTTATCATGAATAAGATAGGGAAAACATCACTTCCTATAATAATATTCTTAGCAATCGGTCAAATATGTTCAGGTGACAAACCATTGCATATAAGTAAGTAAATGGAGGAGAAGAATGGGAGCCCCAATCAAGTACACATGCATATTCCACTAGCATGCAGAATCAACAGGTTCAACTTATAAAGGGCTCTCAAATATGTGTTAAATTTTAGGTTCTTCAAAGCTCTCACATATGAAAGATAAGCTAAGAAATGCATAAAACAAAACCCGGATACCACTCACCCTCAAGGCGGTTGTTGCTGACAATCCATCATCTTTCCCAAGATCAAGAGCAAGAATAGAAGAAAGCTCATCGGACAGCCAGGATATCCACAAGCCATACGCTTTAATGCAAAGATCTCTGATCATTTCACCCAGCTCTTCAAGTTTATGGCTCCCACTCTCATTAGTTCCAATAAGAATGGAAGTGGCAGGGGAGTTCGATTTCCTAGATCCAGTAGGCGACTGCTGACCAGGACCATCAAGGGAATCAGCAGCAGTGATCCTATATTGCCTCAAAGCAGATGGAGCTTTCTCGAAACCTGATGCTTTAGTCCCTTTGGCCCATAACCTTGGAGGCCCCAGTATAAGTGGGAAGTTCTTGGAGTGGTTCTGGATTGCAAATAAAAGTCTCCCAAGAAAAATAGATCTCTCAACCACTAATGCAGGCGGAATAGATTGACCAGCATTTCCCATGGCCGAATATAGATTGTCAAGCTCTCTCTTTACTTCTGCAAGTATGGCAGACATGCAGGCATAGCACTTATCTTGTAGAAAAGGAACCAGGTCCTTTAATCTGGGAGCTGCCCTTGGAGATTCTAAGAAACTCAAAACATCCTCAAGCACAACTTGACAACGTTTGTCGACTGCATCCCTGATATGACCAACCTCAGGGCCAAAGTAGGCACTGAGACAACTCCAAGAATCATTCCCTTCAAGTGATACTTTATAACTGGAAGCTACACCAGGCTTCTTCGTATTATTGGGTTCAATAAACCAGACTCCACCCCCAGTGGATGGTCTGTTTAAGTATGCTTGGAAATCAGTACACTCAGCAGGATCACCTCCAACAGCACGGAGGGCGCCCTCCAAGTCAATGTCTCTCACCAGATCCTTAAATCCAGAATCGATAACAACTTTCATCCTCTTAACAAAAGCATCTTCAAACACCTCATCCCACAGATCAGAATCATCTTCAAGAACAAGCTCCCGGATTCTACTCCAAGGCAACTCGATTTCAGATCCAAATACACTCTTAAGCCACTCCAAACTTCCTTCCAACACTTGCTTGCTATCCATCATCTCTCTAATTAACTTCTCAGCCAAAATGAGCTCTCCACCAGACGCAATAGCATCAATCAGGTATTTACCATTGATCTCACTCACAGTCTCTCTGCCGCATTGCCTCAGCCAAGTCAAACAAGTCTTGGCAACATACTGCTTATCAAGTGTAACCATTGTGGACTCGAGCTTTTCCCTGAATAATTTCCATAATCTCACCTCATTATCCGGACTGGGGATCCCGCCGAATAATTGAGAGGCAGGAGGAGATCCCAGAATAACTTTATAGAACATGGGCATATCATTCAGAACCTGCAGAAACATCTCCCCTACTTGCCCTACAGTGATCTGGATAATCTTCAACACTTCACAAAACACAGATACAACAAGCTCACCAGCTCCAGCACTGTTCTCATTAACATTCCCTCCAAAAGTGGCCAACTTCTGAGAGACCCAAGTCTTTCTAGTGTCAAGGAACAGAGAAAGTACCTGTTGAGGATCCAATTCATCGATAACGGCAACTGCGGACAAAGCATCGGCATAAGCCCCAATGCCAAGCCCTTGATCCAGCAGCCTCTCCCGGCTCCGCTGTGAAATCTGGGCTTTAAAGCTCTCCACGATCTGCCACTGGTGTTGCAGGAGAGGGAAATTGGAGAGTATCTTGGTGTGATCCCGCTCCAAAGCGCCATCGAGTAGCTGGGAATGGACATGTTTAGCACGGATGTATCTTGCCGCGGCTTCGAGGAACATGGACTCGTCGAGGCATCCCCAGATGTTCTCCGGAGTGTCGACCAGGTACTTTACGCGGCAGGCGATTCCGTAGATTCGGAGGCGGGCCGAATTAGGGGTTGTAAATTTAGGGGTTTGGGAATCGGCGGAGGCAGAAGAAGTGGAGAGAGAGCGGATGTTGGAGTGAATTGAAGCGATGTTGGAGGAGATGGAGTGGCAGGAAGACTTCATGAGAACGATTGAGTCGGCGGAGTCGATTAGGTCCCTGTACCGGTTGCCGACGAGGAGGCGGAGCTCTTCCTTCTTGTCCTGGATCTGTTTCCTGGTTGTCGACTCCGCATTGCGGATTTCGGCGATGGGCTTGGATCGGAAGAGGGACTCGGCATCGCGGTGGCCGGCGCCGGGGACGGCGACCACGCGGTCGGTGGATGCCGACGACTGTCTCATGATTTATCGACGGCCAATTGAGCCACGGAAGAAGAAGAGAGGAGTACTGAACGGTGTACAAAAATGGCGGAGAGGAGAAATGCGCAGAAATACAGGCAGTTCTTTTGTGTGCTACAATGGACTGAAGCGTGCTTCTCAATCAAACATAAGAAGATTGTGAGTTTGTGACTAAGCCCAGCAGACTTTTTATTTTTATATGGGCTCTTAAGCCCATAAAATGCAAAGCCCGACTGGACCAGACTTCTGAAAAGACTGAAACAGTGGAGCTACTGTCTACTACTGATAGTCAGTAGCTCGAAATAAGAACATCAATCGCGTCCCAGGAAGACGAAAGAAAAAGACTACCAAATTGAAGAAAGGATTTTGTCCGAGTATCGAAGAAGCCAGCGGCAGGAAGGCTTTCGATTGTTTCTCTGTGCATAGTTGGATATTGAGCTCTCCGCCACTTTCTGTTCTGGAACTGCAATCTTCGATTCTAAAACTACTCTGGATCGGTTCTTCTAGCATTGGAACAAGGTGATACGAATTGGGCAGTTTAGAAGGTCAGAAAAGGTTCAAACTTTGATGAGTTAGCGCTTTTCATGCGTAGCAAAGTCTGTAATTTCATATTGAAAGTTAGTGATTTTGGAGTAAAAAGCTACATTTCTTGATGTTCTTCAAGGTGAAACAAAATGGTCTTGCGAATGTAGACTGCACAAGAAGTCTCTTGGCTTAAAAGTAATTGTTTGTCATTCTCAAGCAGGTGGGGATTCCTGGAAAAGTGATCAATGGAGGGTGACAGGTATTTCACATCTCTTTTCTTTTGCTCTAGTTTGAAGTAGGTTTTCTGTTGCTTGCAATTTGTTTTGCCTTTCTGTTTGATTTCATTCAACTATTTCCTGTACCAGGCTGAACTCCCCAAGTACATGCGCAGTTATGCTTGAAGCTTTGGGCCATCAACTGCAGTTTTCTCAGGTGTAGCTTCGTAATGTTTGATTGTTACTGCTAAGATAGTTTCGTTTGCTAAATATTTGAAAGACATTGTGTTTGTCTATATGAGGTTTTATCTGCTAAGACTGCCTTATGAAGGTTTCGTTCTGTTTTATAATCAATGACCTTCTTGAAATGATTTGAAGACGAAAACCATAATGATTTGGCTGTTAATGAACTTGTTGTCTTCCCATGTATAGGATCCAAATTCCAAGCACCTGGGAACCACAGTTTGGGATGCATCTATGGTACTTGTCAAATATTTGGTAAGCCTCGCTGTACTCATTGAATGGAAAATGAAAAATGGATAATGCGATGTCCCATTTTGCAGCTTGTGACTTATAGTTAGTTGCTCCTTAGAGTTTAAACAAGTTATAGCTGCTTATAGAAGCAAAATTTTCATTTTGGAGGATAACTATTTCAATTTTTCTGTTTTGTGAATGAAATATAGGATTATGCTGAGGGTTGAACTATAATATCCTATGAGATCCCCAAAATATGATGTCATCTGTCATTGTGATTCTTCAACATGTCCCAGGGTATTTGATGGCACAGCTATAAACTTCTCATTTGTTTCAAAATGGGCAATTGTACAACAAATCAATGCAAACTGATTTAAGAAATCTGCTTAACGAGAACTGGCTGCCTGGCTCTTGTCTTTCCTCTCATTGACATTGTGTTATCAAAGGATCCCTTTTTAGGACATACTAGGTACTTACTCCGACATCTCTTATGGTCCTTAAACGTCCAGTTCTTTGTTTTTTTTTTTTCCAGGAAAAGAACTGCAGAAGGGGAAGGTTCAGCCAATCCAAGCTTAAAGGAAAACGTGCTATTGAACTTGGAGCTGGTTGTGGAGTAGCTGGGTTTGGTGAGTTTGTAGTCCTGTGTCTCCATATTTCCTATATTTAGTAAGAAAAGATCTCCCATATCCTTAGCTTTGATGCGTCCTGTCCCATGTAGTGGAGAAAGGTTTTGCTGTTGATATTCTCGCTTGATATCCTTCCTGTCCCAGTCTGTATGCTTTGCTGATGCAAACGACTCTTTTCCAGGAATGGCACTTCTAGGATGTGATGTAATTTCAACAGATCAGGTCGAGGTTTTGCCATTGCTTATGCGAAATGTTGAACGTAACACTCGGAGAATTCTACAATCAGAACAAAGTTCAGGTGTGTGGCTAGACTAACTACTGTGGATTGTTATCTGCTGGATAAGTGTAACCTGCACAATTATCCAAGCACAAGTCAATTTTGTGTCCATCGGAAGATTGTGATACTTGTAGGTTCCTTTGGGTCGATCAGGGTTGCGGAATTAGATTGGGGAAACGAAGAACATATTAGAGGTGTTGCCCCACCATTTGACTTCATCATTGGAACTGATGTTGTAAGATTCTTGATGAGATGTCCTAGTTGAGTTATCTTGGTTTTGCTTTTTCTTTCATTCTCTAAAATAGGAATCAAACTGAAAGGTCCGCATTTCTGAAGGTATACAAGGAGCATCTGTTAGAGCCTTTACTGCAGACCATTTTGGCTTTATCGGGCCCTAAAACCACAATCTTGGTAAGTTTTTGAATGATCCCCCCCTTTCATGCACAAAAATCCATAGTTCTGATCTTTACCTCCTTCTGGCTTAAAAATTGCCTACAGTTGGGGCATGAGATTCGTTCTACAAATGTCCATGAGAAAATGCTTGCGATTTGGAAAAGCAATTTTGAGGTGAAAACCGTACCGAAATCTAAGGTACGCACATGATTCAATGTCTTCCTACATCCTTCTGTTGTAATCTCGAAACAGCTCTCACCTCTTACTCTTTATGCAGATGCATTATAAGTACCAACACCCTAGTATTCAGCTTTACATCATGGACTTCAAACATAATGGTGGCGGGATAAGAGCCGTGATAGACCATCAGCAAGCTGATGTAGAATCAGGATCAGAAGTAGTGGAAGAGGAAGAGGAGGATTCTCAAGCTAGTAATGATTCTGTAGTCGATAATGTTCGAGATCCTTCTTGTGAGATTACTGATCAAGAACAGCAAGCAGTGAAGTCGCCAGAGGCAGGGGGGATCACCGATTGGGAATCGATGAGGATTGGCTCAATGGCTGCTAGGCTTCTGCGTGATGTCAAGATAACTTGACTTTTCCGTACACATGCACCTACAGCAACTACTGCTATTTAACTCGGTAGTTAGATGCTTGGTACATCCACTGTGATACAGAATTTAAAAGAAAATGATTTTTGTAGAAACATGATCAGTTAGCACTTAGCAGTTAGCAATTATGTTTCTTCGTTCGCATAACTCGAGCAGCGTAAAAGTGATGAAAGCTTTGGTTATGTGGTGCAAAGGTTGTTTGCTTTTTGGACAAGGAAGAAGGCAGGAGGAGGCTGCCCTTGGCTTTCGTCTGCAACAGTAGTTGATGGGGTTCGAGCTCGAGGTTCTGGGCCGACATGGAAAACGGATCGAGTGTACTTAGTCCGGCTTGAGACTTTTGATAACACATTCGACACAACAATGGCTGACTGTTGGAGATTTTGATGAGTTGGGGAAGAATAATGATGATGATTGACATGAAAGCAGAAGACTCGGCCTGAGGTTGATGATGCTGGTGTCTGAGTTGTGTTGCTTGGAGAGTTGGAGTGAATCAGAATTCATGTGTTAAGAGTGTAGTGGGCTCTGCAGTTGGATGGGCTGGGCTGAAAACTAAATTGATGAAACCAATTGGGCCTGGAAAACGGTTTCTACAATCATCCAACAAGGATATCTCCCAGCCCAAGTGATCCAACGACGAAAAGATATCTCCCTTACCGTCTCAGCTAAGTTCCCCCATTCTCACCACAAAGCAGATCATCACACGCGCCTTGCATTTTTAGGGAGCTTCCAAAAGAGACCGAGACTGACGCGCGCGGCGGGGGAAGGAAACAAAACAGCCAATCCGTAAAGGGGACCACACGAGTGGGCGGGGCGCTCGAGGGAGAAGGTGACACGTTTCGACAGTGTCACAAGAAAACAAAACCGGAAAAGGAAAGAAATGTTAAAAAAAAGGGTGAAGCACGAATCTTGAAAAGGATTGAATGGGGGCAGTCACACGTGCGGTGGGGTGTGTGTGTGAAAGAGAAGGCGTGCGTAGCGTATTACGTCAGAGGAAGACAGCGAGGCCTGTTTACCTTTTCTTGTCACTGTCTGTCTAAGCCCCTACCCTCCCTGCTCAGGCCCAGAATCCCACTTCCCCTGGGCCCCGGCCCAATTACCTACCCCCACCTTTCTCATCACATATCATTTTTTAATACCTTTTTTGTTTTTAATACAAGACCTTCGGTTCGTGTTATAACTTATAACGTCGTCGGTGATAGATCTCACACTGTATAGGATTTAACATCTACGAAATGAATTCAATTTGGAAGGGACAAAAATTTAAATTTCTCAACTCATAATAATCAGAGAACGCGAGACAATCAACCGTCACATCACAAAGATCGTCGATATGCTTACGGCGGCTCGAAGAGGTGGCTACCTAAATGTGTTAAGTAAGTAAATGGGATGAGCTTTCATGTCTCCAAGAGCCAAATGGAGATGACGAGACACTTGACACTTGGCTCTTTTCAGTTAGTTAGTTAGTTAGTTATATGTTAATAACCACTAGAAGTAGTTTCTTCTTGTTATGCCTAACAGTAGTACTATATTGATGATTTTTAATTAACTAAGTCAGCAATCAGTTAGTTACGTTAGATACTCTTGCTAGAAATAACAATTAGAGAGACGCCCCCGCACGCTTAATCCCTATCTAAACAATTTCTATGTACACATTTTTTTCAACGTAGAGATTCCCCATATATATGCAACGAACTTAACGAAGAACAAACAGAGGAACTAACTAAAGCTGGAGGGTGGGTGACTGAAAGTAACTTTTCTGGCACTGTCTGTCAATCCACCCTAAATCCCGACCCTAATATCACTAATTGGGCCGTAGGCCCGTAGCCCAATCAGAGTTACAACAAACGACGTCGTTCCCCTCCTTTGTTAGCCAGTTCGATAATTTACTTACAGACAGAAAGTGAAATTTAACGGTAACTTTGATAAAAACACTCCTTACACCCACCTTGGACCTTTTTTGCCAAAGTAAAAGGGAAGCAACAATGACTTGTAGACTTGTAGTAGCGGCTGCCTTCATGAGTTTGGAATCGAGGCTACTATGTAACCAAAGAGTCAACCAAGAGAAAGCGATAGTGCAAAATAATGTGTAAAAGGAAAAATCATGGAAACTAGTGGAATAACGTACGTATACATTAATCAATTATTGGGTAACGAATAATTAAATAGCGTTAATGATAATAATGACAAATGATAATGACGGGTGCATGCATATGCATTTCATCATTTCACTAACGGGGGCGGCCGGAGAAGAAGAAGAAGAAGAAGAATCTTAATGCGTAGCTAACGTATGAAATGTTTGGCTTGATATATGCCACAATCGGCCGGATATCGTTTCTCTCATCTCCCTTGGCAAACTTAACAATAAAATTATGCCGCCGGCCAACCCACCGATTCTCTCCCCGGTTCTTCGATATACTTCCCCAAGACCCCAAGCAATCACAAAGCCAAGCTCTAGCTAGATATCTATCAAGCTACTTCTGCTGGTTTTGAGTGGCGAAGTAAGAAATCTGAAAAATGGAGTGGCTGACTTGAATTGTCGTAACCGGTGGAAAGTTAAAGTCTTATAGACTGTTCTAATTTCCTAAATTTGTGCAAAATATTCATTTTCTTTTACCTATATTTAGAAATTGATGAGGGTTACAACCCCTTCTAATTTCAACCTAACTAAAGTACAATTGCTAACTTTGGTTGGAGCATCGATCTTGCAGGAATTCGCGGTACCGCATACTTTGTTTAAGAAACGCTATCTAGAGCTTGAATTGACTGATTTTTCAGACATGATCATATACTCTAACCCTTAAAGATCAAAATCTACGTCTTATTCTCTAAATCTTATACCCCAAGATCAATTTAATTAGAAACAATAATCGACGATTATATTATGATTCGTCCAGATATAGACAAAATCATCAATGCATCATCTTAGGGTTTATAGTTTATGATTTAGATAATTAGGATCTAGGGTTCACTCATTAAGGGTTAGCGTATAGTATCATGCCCAAAAATCCTGCTAATTCAAGATCTAAATAACGTTTTCATACTCAAGATATACAGTACCCCGAATTTCACCCGGGGTACCGTAGAAGCACCATATGTATATCCATCTCTACAAAACCTATCTAATTATTGGAAAGTCGAGGCGGTAAACGGATTCATGAATTGCTAGATTATTGGTGAATTTATAGATTGGGTTCCTGAATTCATTATGAAATTTTTTAAAAATTTAGGTGTTTAAGTTTTAGGTACCAAAAGATCATTTTTGAATAAATTTATCACATAATTTGAATTTAGTTATCAAATTATAAAATATAAACAGTATGTTATATCCAATAATATGTTAATTCAATCCTGTAAGATAATTAATTTGTAAGATAATTAATTTGGACGCAGATAATAGGCAGAATGAGGATTATAGTATAATTTGGTACGTCTTTGAGCTACCTATTGCTACATACTTTGATACATACATACATGGATGAGATATTTCAATTTTGTATAATTCCCTTGTAGCTTCCTTTTGTTTCATCCTACATTTGAAAGAAAAAAGGTAATATACATAGTACTATCGATCTATAGTCCTCCCAATTAATTCATCCACCAAAAATAGAAAAGAGTTGTCTAGGGCTTAATTAAAAAGACTCCTGCCCTTGGTAGGTCATCCATTAATCGACTGCTATGACTTATATCAAGCTATTCCTGTGATTTGATTAGTATATATATATGAAGAAGAAGAAGAAGAAAAACGACATTATCATTCTTCATCTCTCCCTAATTTTGGTTTTAGCTGGCCAATAGCTAGACAAGCAAATTCAATTTGTGAAGTAACACTATGTTGCATTAAGATCTCATATCAATTATTGAAAACTAATTAATATATATATATCATGGTTAATCACTAGCTAATTAAAATATTTTAAATTAATTTTAGAAATTAGATTGTAATAAATTAGGGTTGGTGGTCTCAGATCATGATGAAGAGCATATCAATCATGAGCCTTCCCTGTAAGATCTCCTCTGTGTCCACATGGTTTCTGGAACACCGGCATTACTTGTCAAGGGAATCAATCCAACCCATCCACAAAGATCTATTATTTCATTTTAATTGTTAACAATATTATTGCCTCAACTTAATCCATTATTTCCTGTTAATTACCGAGCCATATTGTTTAACCCTACTTATAATGAGATGCAAATTTCAATCTGTCTCGAGATTGATCATCTTTGTTTAACTTTATGCTCAACGTTGATTAACCAAAGCTATGATTTAACAATATCAACTGATCGAGAATAATTCGCGATGAGATTGTGACCTGCTTTAATTTCTCGTATCTGATCGTATACGTGGTGCCAAACATGCAGATTATATTATATACACACCACGTGAATAAGAAGAAAAATAGAACAGATATGCATAATACACAAGTGGCAAATAGCTGTGCACACAAAGAGCTATCTCATTATAAAATCTCACCATAAATGGACCAACACTACTTCTCCTTCTGGTATGCCTTCCACAACCTCAACAAGTTCTAGTTGTGTAGTTCACCACTTAAATAGAAGAGGGGGCAAAACCCCAACTGAGAAGAAGAAAGAAACCCTTGAATTTTTGTACCCCTTAATTTTAAGTAATTTCCAGCTAGCTAGGGTTGTATGCATGTGACACCTATAACTCCCTGCAGGCCTCTCCCTAGTCAAAATGAAATTACGATATCGTATTAATCAACGCGCATGCTGACGTAGTTAGATTGTCATCAACACGTTTTTACACACAAAGAAAGAAATATACACGAGCTCGAGTAACCTAACGCATAAACACACTCGTTACGTTGATCGCGTCCCTCTCGCTGCGGTGCCCTAGTCAATTATTCATCAAAAATTGTGGGCTATATAGCTAGCCATATCGAGCAGAGATCATCATCATCAATCATATCTCAATTTTCACTATGTAAAGGAAAAGGAGGACCGTCCCTAGTTCTATATATATCTTAGGCACACTGTTGAGAAAGTCTGTCGAAAACCCCAGTTGGGGAAACCTTACAATTGTACTGATCACAATGTCTGAACCACCAATTGATTGCCTGATTGCCCCATTTCCCACAACGCAAAACTGTATAGTTTGCTACTATATGGCCGTATATATACCGCAACAACAATCCATTCTCCCCATCTGATGCGGGAATTGATGGATGATAATGATGATAGATTATAAGCCATTATTGATAGCAGCTGCTGCTTTGTTGTAGACTAGTCTATGGAACTATATATAGTTGTCGCATTGTGGCCCTATAAATCACCTGACCAGGTGGTGATGATGATTTATTGGGCACAAAACGAAGACTTATTAGCTCTAGCTATAGTAGTACTACCTGAAAAAAACAACTATGAACATATGGAGAGAGTGTGTCATTATTATGGCTAGCTTGAAGTTTTTTTTGCGCAACAGACAAAGGAAAAAACCCTTTTGTTCATCAGATAAAACGTAGATCGATCGATGGATGTTTTTCTGTGTGTAACTGTATATATAGCTCAAAAGAAGGGTGATATACTCATACTAGCTCAAACTTACAAATCTCTACTGCTTGCATTCCTTTTCAGTTTTCATCAGGCCCATGAGTAGTAGTAGAAAGGTTTGAGGATGAGTCGAGTGATGATTTCAATGGATTTGTGGATGCAACAACACAACAACAAAGGTTCGATGATCGGAGGGAACGCGCTGGCCGATTGTAGTCAGGGAGAATGTCACAGAGTCTACGTTAATTACCTCGACCGGTCCTGATCCATCTATGGCAAAGAATTAAGCATTTGAAGTCGAAGCACTCTTGTTTTGAATGGCGACCAAGTATAACTAGCTAGGGACGAGCAGTGGATCAACATTTACTCGGCCAGTCGTAACCCTTCTAGGGCTAGCTAGTACTATTACGGTCCGGTTAAATTGGCCCAAATTGATCCGGTCCAGTCCGGTTTTTTTGAGAATATAAGGTCCGAAGATTGGATTGGATACAGTCCGGTCTTGATCCGGTCCGGTCTTGACCCGGTCCGGTCCCAATTCGGTCTTGATTTTATATTGAGATTGTGGAAATTTGAGTGGCCTAAGGCCTAAAAGGGTGAGGAGTTGGTTAAGTTTTGTACTAAGTGTAAAGGTTTGTGACCGTTTATGTAAATTACCCTTAAGTTTTGGGTGTTGAGCTCTCTTATCCGGTCTTTATCCAGTTTTTTACCTCAAATCTAAGCCCAAAGAATGGATTGGATTGTTTACTATCCGGTCCCGGTCCGGTCTCACTCCGGGTTATACAGTCCGGTTTCCGATTTTTCCTCCGGTCCCGGCCCAAATAGCCAGCCCTAGCTGCTCCACTAGTTATAACAAAAAATACAAAACTATTGAACACACGTTGAATTTCTAACAACCAAAGTTATGAGGAGGATGATGATGATCCAATAATAGTGCAAGCTGACTTTGAAGATGAGATTTTTTTAGTGGGGGTAATTTTACAGAAATTGACAATTAGTCAAACATGTATGGAAATCAAAAGGTATGTGAAAAAAACCCTAGTGCCTAGCTACTGGTATGACTTTCGTATTAGCTGCTGGTTAATTTCAAATCTATAGTTTAATCTCTAGCCAAGGAATTGGAAGACAGTTAATTACTTAATTAAACGATGACAATAACTGATTTGTATTGTGGGAATGGAAACAAAAAAAATAAAATATGTATTTATATAGGATCACAAGCTAGCGTAAAGTCCATGGTTGGAAAATGTCATATGAAGAAGCTATCAATTCAATTTCCTGTTGAATTTCAACTTGGGGCCAAAGACTTTGAGGCCATAATTGATAATACCACAAACCCTTTTGAGAAGAAAAGAAGAGAAAATAAACTTGACTTGAGAGAGCAAGCAATTGCAAGGCTTTATATGTGTTGTGTATGTCAAACTCAAAATTGTTAAATATGGTATTATTCCGTGGGCTAGATAATTAAAGAAGCTTCTATATTAATGATGATTACCTTTTGGGTGTGCCTACGGTGACATGCATGTCACGGTGACTTGCACTTTCCGGTCGACCACAGTTAGGATTAGGTCGACCTCACATAGAATTCGGTCGACCTCATATAGGATCCGGTCGACCTCATTTAGGATTCGGTCGACCTCATATAGGATCCGGTCGACCTAATATGTTGTTTCAGTGTAAAAACAGTTCATGGTGCCTACTTTGGATATTCATATCATACAATTGGCTAGATGGAAATTGAAGACTAATGACTTGTTTTGAAGCTGGAGTGTCCCTCTACATATTGAAGTGATTGAGAGCTTGATAGGAAGTCCAGAAGACCATTTTTGAACCTCATCAAAAGGCTATGCCAAAACTGGGAAACTGCCTAGAAATGGCTAAGTCTGGAAACGTGTTTGTGAAGCCTATTTTTGAGCTCAATTCGAGAAGCATGAATGCGATTCGAGTCCAGGAGCCTCTACCACATTAAATTAGGTATGTTTTTATACAAATTCAAGGAATTGGATGAAAGATTGGATATTTTTAAGGCTTCAAACAAAAGGGTCGAAGTTGCTACGAAGGCTGTTTTTCTGGCAGACTTCGAGCACAAGCAAGCTGCCAGAAAAACAGGCTTCGTAGCAGCTTCGAGCCTTTTGTTTGAAGCCTTAAAGATATTCAATCTTTCATTCAATGCCTTGCCTTTGTATAAAAAAATACGTAATTTAACGTGGTAAAGGCCCCTGGACTTGACTCGCATCCATGCTTGTCAAATTGAGCTCCAAAGTAGGCTTGACAAACACGTTGCCAGACTTAGCCATTTTCAGGCAGTTTCCCAGTTTTGGCATAGCCTTTTGGTCAGGTTCAAAAATGGTCTTCTGGACTTTCTATTGAGCTCCCAATTACTTTAATGTGTAGAGGGACACTTCAGCTTCAAAACAAGCCTTTAATCTCCAATTTACATCTAGCCAATTGTAAGATATGAATCTCCAAAGTAGGCACCATGAAACTGTTTGTACACTGAAACAACTGATTAGGTCGACCTGATCCTATGAGGTCGACCGAAAAGTGCATGTCACCGTGACATGCATGTCACCGTAGCAAAGTCCTTACCTTTTTAGCTTCATTTATTTTGGGTGTTTAATTCACATATTTTTTTCCCCTCACTTTACACAAGTCATAAATTTTGACATATTTCTTTGTTGTGCTAGCTAAAACTTCAAATTTGTAGTTGACACAAAACCAGCTGGAGTCGACACGACCCGTGGAAAAATAAACTTGTCGAGTTACTGTTAATTAAAAGTTATAAGAAAACGATATCTAGAGGAGCTAGATCGGTAATCGATTTTAGATTGCTTTGGTTAAAAAAATATGAATTTTAGATTGCATGAATTCTGGTAACACCATGTATTTTGTATTCGTTAAAGTGAAATGCATAAATATTTTTACGATATGGGTAATTAAACACGTTATTCGGAACTAGGATAATGTTAAAACGGTAATTGATGGAGTAAAAAAAACAACAAAAAGAAGCAAGCTGGGACGTTCGAAATGACGATGAACACAATTGGTGTGATGATATACAAGTATCATTTTTTTTTAATTAATTATCAGAAAATGGTGCACACATATGGTCAGGAATTATACATAGTTCCAAAACTAAGAAATAACAACAATAATAATAAGCAAGAGGGGGAATCTAATCCTTGTTTTCCTCTCATAAGTGAGATATTATTATCATTTCCCCACATTTCCCCCCCTTGTATATGCACTGTTGACATTAAGTTGTCATTTAGCATCTAACCCAGCTCTATCCAGCCCCTTAATTATATATATATGTTAACCACATACATGCACAAATGAAAATTAGTTTTAAGTAAAAAAGATTAGAAATTGAGCCACCACTAATTATTATAAAATTAGGTGGGTTTGTGGTGAAGAAAGAAAAGTTTGATTGAACGTGTCAATCATTTTGACTTGTGCATGCCCCTAAATATGAATAAAATACCCTCTACTCTATGTTAAAAGTACCTTTCTTTCACTGTCTATCTCCCTCTCCCCAGCAAGCAATGCAAATGCAAGTCTCCTTCATTGTGTTAAAAAAACAACAACAACAACAGAAACAAACAAACAAAAGCCCTCTCCTCTTTCTTTTTCTCCTTTTTCTTTTTTCTTTTTGTGGGTGTGGTTAGGTTATTGCATAGGGTATAATAATAAGCTTGTCTATTTTAAGAGGACTGAGTTGGGTCTTGGTTGAGAGAGAGAAATAGAAAGAGAAACCCCATTTCAAGAGAGAGAGAGAGAGTTGAAACTTGTCTTCCTCCCTTCCTTCCTTCCTGCTAGGTAGAGAGCTAGCTTCATTTTTTTTCTGGTTTGGATAATTGAGAGACAGAGAAAAGATGGGGAGGGCACCATGCTGTGACAAGGCAAATGTGAAGAAAGGGCCATGGTCACCTGAAGAAGATGCCAAGCTGAAGGAGTACATTGAGAAATCTGGCACTGGTGGCAACTGGATTGCTCTCCCTCAGAAAGCTGGTAATTATTAATTGAGTAATTAACCCTTATTTAATGATCTAGTGATTATCATTGCTTTGTATCAGTTTTCCATCCATGGAGCTGGTTTCTCATGATGTTTCCTGTTGACTACTCTCTTGTGCAGGTTTGAAGAGGTGTGGGAAGAGCTGCAGGCTGAGATGGCTCAACTATCTGAGACCAAACATCAAGCATGGTGAATTCTCTGATGAGGAAGACAAGATCATCTGCACCCTCTTTGCCACCATTGGCAGCAGGTATAGAACTCTATATTTTAATGGACACAGAAGAATCTGCACCATTTTTGGGGGGGTAAAGTTTTTAGCTTTGCATGCCTCAAATTTTGAAGAAATACCTTACCTTACCTAACTTGCTATCTACTTAACAGCTGCATCTCATCCATCATCTATAACTGAAATTCAAACACAAAAGCCCCTTTCTTTTCTTTTTCTGTTTGGTGGGTTTTTAGTTTTAATGTCAAAGAGGCTGCTGCTGCTGATGATATTAATGAATTTCTATCTTGTGGGTGTGTGTGTATGAAATGGCAGATGGTCAATAATAGCAGCACAGTTACCAGGCAGGACTGACAACGATATCAAGAACTACTGGAACACCAAGCTGAAGAAGAAGCTTATGTCCATGGCTCCTCCTCCTCCTCCTTCTCACTCTCACTCTCAATTCCCCTCATACCACCATCATCATCAAAGAAAACCATTCCCATCTCCATCTCCATCTTCACTCCTTTACTCCCCTCTTTCTGCACCACAAACTTCTCCATTCATGAAATCTTCCACTGGTTTCGACATGATCTCACCGTTGCTCCAATCCAATCATCTCCTCGCTACCACGAACTCCTCCTCCCTTTTCCAATCCCTTCAAGAAGCTGGAAACAACAACAACACTTTCTTGAACACCATGCAATACTACAACAACAACAGCAACAACAACAGCTGCTGCAGCAGCAGCAGCAACTTATTGGTGTTTGGAAGTGGCGGCACTCAGCAGGAAGCATCTGCAGGAGCCAGTTGCAGTTCCAACTCCGACGGGAGCTGTGGCGGCCAGCAAGGGCTCAACTATGGGACGAGTTTCATCAAGCAGGAGATCATTGGTAGCAAAGGAGATCAAGGGTTTCATCACAGTAAGTTCATGTTCAACTATCTTCCCACAAACATCAGCAGCAACGGTGGTGGGTATGAAGCAGCTATGGCGGATCATCATCATAATCAGAATCTTGAGGAGCAAGTGAAGCAGCTCATCATCACGCAGAGTTCTAGTGATGATATGATTAGCAACAACAACAACAAGAGTTGTAGTGATGAGTATGACAATAATGCCCTTCTCCTCGGTAATGTTGTTGATGACAGCAGCAAGGATGTGCAGGAGAAGCTCATGTACTATTACTACTAGATCAATTTTTCATCAAGAGAAGAAGAAGTAATATATATATATTTTATAAATGATGTAATTTGGGGATGGATAAATTGAGTGTTTGATTTTTATGATGATCCTGACTGTGTAAGTAAATATAAGAAGCTAGGAACTATTATGATTTCACATCCAAATTGTTATGGGCAAGTATCACATCAGAAATATAAGGGAAGGAATCCTTGTATATTAGTGTTCACTAATCTCATTAGTACGACTTACGAACCCTTTTTGGGAAGGAGATTTTGATTATATGAAGCTGTGTTCTTCTTCTTCTGCTACTGCTGCTGCGGCAAGCTCTTTGGATCAGAGAATATTTTTGCAACTCTCATGGAAGAGAAGGGAAAGAAATTAATGGAGAGAAAAATAAAAAGGTTGTATTGTATCACTACACCATCTCATGGTTGGCAGAGAGCAACAGAAAACAATACACAAAAAAAAAAACCCAAGTACGATTCTTGCTTGCCTCTTTTTTTTTTAAAACATATAAAATATAGGATTTCCCCTTGGACATATCCATTATTAGGGTTTTTTTTTTCATTTTTTGTTCTTATTTGAACCCCATAAATTTTATTCCTCAGATCACACTGAGTCATATTAGTACTGACAGCGATTTCCTATCCCTCCCTTCATTTTCTCCCCATATTCTAATAGGGTTTATGTGGAAAACCCTACTCTACCCTCCAACATGGTTAACCCATTTTGGATATTGGATCATGGTTGGGAAACCACTGGTATGTATGAGGGCCGATACAACAAGTTTCAACCGATAATAGAAATAATCGGTTGGAATATATACCATTAGTATGAAGTGGTAGTCAAACCGTTAAGGAATTTTATTTGATGATCTTTCAATTTGTTAGGAATGCAATATGTTATTTAAATATGGATGGAGATTATAGTATGTTATATAAATGCACAATTAATTTGGTGTTAAATATTTTCAAAATTTTCATATGTTTTATCAAAACCTATATACAATCTGGTTGTACTTCGACTCGGGAGCATATCGCTTATTAAACCAGCATATAAATCGGTTCGATAACTTGGATTTGGATGGTTGGAGAAAAGGGTAGTCGCAGTCATTCCACTGTATGCAAATGGCTTGTCAAGGATTGTTTTTATTAATTTATTCCCCCTTGTGGAAAAATATTTATTAATTATTGAAAGAAGAGGTCTGACTCCAAGATGGGAACTTGTCTTTCCCTGCAAAAAAAAAAAACCCCCCAATTTTTATAAATAAAAAAGGTGATGCTTGGGTAAAAGCTTGGATCTTTCTGCCTCTGTCCGACGAAACCCTTTTTGTTTAATTGAAAAATGTTATACAATGATTGATTTTTTTGTTCACCATAATCTCAGTCTTCTGCATAATTCATTGGTGTTTGGTCTTCTGTTTTCCTACTGGTTTTCTGTATTATTATTATATATCTTTATATACGGTCTCTACCTACATGGTCCATGTATATATGTATATACTACGTATAGGAATACGCATTAGGGGCAATAATTATACAAGATGGTGATGGTATGGAGATCAATTTCGGTAGATATGATTCCCTTAATTATCATGATATTATTAATTGTAATTAATTAATTTAAATATCTATGTGGAAAATGCAACTATTGGTGCATCATGTCTACATACACGAAAGACCTAAAAGATGAGATCATGGTATGATTGGTCAGCGGTGAGGAGCACTGTTCAATATTTCAAACTTGTGATGATGATCCAACATCTTATCATATATCACTTTCCTTCTTGTTTTTTTCAATTTTCGGGGCATAGTTTCTTTCTTGGCCCCTAGTTTTTTTTTTTTTTATTCCCAACAATGAAAAGAGTCTAGAGCCTAGACCATGACTTTGATAATTTCTAACTTCTAACCACAAACACGAAATCATTTACCACATCACATACATATATTTGTGAGTAAGACCCTCTCTAGAAGATGATATGATGATCCATGTTTCGAGTCATCATGCGAGGTTACGACGTACGAAACCATAATGCAAAGCAACAAAACTAACGTGGAGTGAGGTTATTGATCACTACGAAAGACAAGAACCACGTGAAAAAATTCGTGTGCCGTGAATTCTCGTCTATATGGTTTTGGATATTGATTCTTACATATGAGGCCTATTTGTGGAGGTCTCCGTGAAGAAAGACCTTGTTGACATCGAGCTGATGCGGTGACCAAAGTCTGTTAGTTGCAACTGGCAGACTTATTCATATGAAATCAGTTTCATTTGTCTCTAGACTACGGTTCGATAGAGAACAATTTGATGCACATCTTATCAATTTAGGCAGCCAAAGTATATACTTCAAGTACTTTGCCCTTGACGAGTGTTGTTCGATCGAGCAATGTGTGGAGCACAAGTCTTCATTTCATATGGCTCCTCTATACCCATTTTTTTTGTTAATTAATATTTTCAATTCGTCGTATGTAAACACATTTTGATATTTACCGATGTACTTCTTATATTAACTATTTCAGGTCACATTTTATAAAATCTATATTGTCACCACAATCGAAATTGTTTATCAAACATGCCAGAAGTATGTTAAAATTCCGACATTATTCAGGAATAACCCCATAATAACAATCAAACGTAATACTAGTAAAAGAAAATTCAGTAGCCGTACTAGTAGTGCATATTAAATCCACAATCTCTCATCTAACACCATTACATTATTAAAGAAATAATTACACGTTAATTACAAACGAGTGTACACATGTCCAGAATCCACACGCAAACTACTCAATGAGCTGTTCTAACTTAACTACTACGACTAATTTTAATCCATTTTTTTCGTGTATATAACAGGAAAGGAAACGACAGAGAATTTGTACGTTCATGGCGATCGAGGTGATTAGATCAAAGCGTATACTCACCAACATTACCAGCTACGTACTATATTTGGCCTGCAGTACTCTGAGCTTCTATTGGATCATCATCCACCAATAAATTAACTACTAATTACGTACACTTTAGCAAATTAATTAATTGATATTCTGTTAGAGAGCAGGTAATTTATAGGTGCTGTGGATATATATAATGTGTGCAAGAAGTAGTTTAGCTAGCTAGACCGCTATCTATCTCGAAATAGTACGTATTTGGTAGACTTGGAATTTAACCAACCTAGTTATAACTAATTAGTAATTACAGTATTATACTATACGTAAGCTAACTTGATGTGGTACTTTATCGTAGGAATGACAATAATTCGACTCGTCGGGTAATTTGACTCAACTGTCATGATCTTATATGGGTATCGGATCTGACCCAAATGGACCCAAACGCGTACTTTGAATAATTTTGATTGGGTTTATTTAGTTTGATTTGGGTAAACTCATTTGGGATAGATTCAAAATGTGTCTATTTGGTTCCACATAATTGCATACACGAAACGAAAAAGGATAATACCGATGATCTCATTAACTGCTTTTAACCCAATTTTTTTATTTGAAACATTGATAGAGTTTCAATTATTGGATTTAGGATCCACGTATGCATGGCATGTACAGTACGTCGGTAGGTGATTATTATTAACAGTCTAGAAGAGTGAAAACTACGACTCTTAATTACTTACAGTTATGTCAACTGTCAGTAGTTGGGTGAAATTTTTTGAGGCAAACCCCCCAATAGCGAAAGGAGATAAAAAAAAAAAGGCACTCATAATTGAGGGCAATGAACATTGATATCGTGTGACACAAGTAAGCAACGAAATGCTTGACTTGAATTTGATCCATCCATCGGTCGATTTCTATTGGCTAAAAAATAATATGAATGAAAGCTGAGTTTGGCAGCCCCCGTAAGTAGCGTTTTCAACTTTGATTCTCGAGGCTGCCATCTTAACTTCTTCTTTTTTTTCCCCATTTTCTGGGCTTTCTTTGTCAACGACGGTCGGCTAGCTAGCTAGCTGTGTTTGTTTATTTATATGTTGTCAATAAATTTATAGGTTTGGATTATATACTTCATCCAAAAGTTAGAGGAAAATATGAGATTAATTAGGTGTTTCTTCAAATATGATTTTACGTCCATGAAAATTTACAAGTATACAACACGGGGTCGTCCATGATATTTGATGGAGTTGTTGCGCGCTTTGATCAGGCTTCGCATAGTGTCGAGTTCCAACTTTAAAGAACTTAATTTCTTTCATTCGAGTTTTTTTTTTAATTCGTCTTTAAGAATGATCGGATGGAAACGATACTCTTGCGATGCGTGAATCGTTTTGGGGAGACCAAACTAATCACATCAATAGATGGACCTCCACAACAAACAACCCATTGAGTAGAGAATACATTATTTGAACCTTCCTTTGCTACTGAAGCTCCCCTAGTAAGTAAGTAACAAGAAGATCAAAAATCACAGATTCGCATTGTTATAAGCCAACTTCAAGTTGTTAAGGCCGGATCAATCGAACAAATGAAGCCGAATTCGTAAAATCAATTTTGAGATTACCACGAAGATATATATAATATAAAAGATAAACACACAAAATCAGATGACATCAACAAAGTTCATATCCAAACATGACAATAAACTTAAAGTATGTTTTTGATAAATTTCCTTGACAATTTTTTTCTTCTTCTTTAAAAGTAAGGTCTCGCAATCAAATTCAGTGATCTCTTGTCAACACTTACTTTGATGCATTCTTACCCATACACCCTTGGATCAGATTGAAGAAAGAGAGCAAGTCTATGAACAATTCATGGGAACAATGGAGTCGTACTCTCTCTGTGGCTTTAATTTGCTCGATGAGTTACATATGGATTTCATAAATACACAGTAGTCAGTCAGGCCTGTAATAAACTTGCAGTCGTGATCTTCTTATGTGACATTTTGACAGAGAGGCAGCCCATAGCCATTAATAATGTTGAAAGACTTTGGAAAAGAAGATCGAAGACCACTGCTCAAGACTGATGAAGATTGAAGAAGCAAAAGTGATGGAGCTGAGGGTCCAAACTTGTATGATTCACAAC